CAAGAACTGACTCTGGATTTGAAGAAAACTGGTGAGTTGAATCTCCAACTTTTTTCTGGATCTGAAGAAATTCCAGACTGCTCTTTTTACTGTCAGCATCAAGACTTTTTCAAGGTCTGTTTGCCCAAGATTTCCCTCTTCACTCCCTGCTTAAATCTTAAGTTATCCAGATTGGGAGAGTGAAGTCACTAATACAAGTTGGTCAAAATCACTGGTCCCCAGTGACAAATTTAAACTGAGCACTGTTTTCTGGAGCGAACAATTTACTTTTCATTTATTCAGGAACTTCACCCTAGAGCTAAGTGGCAGACCAATTACAAGTCTTAAGCAGGATGCATTCCTTGGGGCTAGTAGCCAACCATTCTGCATTTCAGGTGACAGTTATTTGGTGATATGTTGCTAGGCAAATTTAAATGCTTGCTTCCTTAGAATTTACATGTTCGTAAGGCAATGAAACAGGGCAAAGAATCTCACAGCACTGAAACATCCACTCAGGTGGGAGCAAAAGTGCACACTGCAAGCATTTAAAAACATAAGCTCCAAGAGAATAAATCCGAAGAGTTCTCATCACAAGGGGAAAAATTTTTTTCCTTTACCTATGAGAAGATGGATGTTGAGCTTGAATCTACTGTGGCAATCATTTCACAATATATGTAAATCAAACCGTCATGTTGTAAACCTTACAACTTATGAGAGTGCTGTACGTGCCAATTACAAAACTGAAAGGGGCAGGGGGACCAAGGATTTTCTTACCAGTCACAAGAAGCAAACCACTGCTCAGCTGCTTCAGGAAAATGACCCTCTGTAAATTAAACAGGAATGCTAGTTGGTTCCACAATTAGAAACTAACTTTTCATTCAATCAAATCACAGGTTCCTAAATCTGGTAAAGGAAGTTTCTATACTCATACACGTGCAGCAGTTCTGGAAACAATACCAAACTATTAACAGACGAGTCCAGAATGTGAGCTGTACGTACTTCTGTGTGCTTGATTTTTAAAAAAAATGAGCAGCCATTACTTTTAACATTAAAAAAACAGTAATTACTTAATACCGTTTATCTCAGTAATTCTATCCCTACAAATCCATCCTAAGTAATGCAAATATACATTTTTGGGTACAGGGACCTCTGAATCATCTGTAACAAGTAGTATTACCAACAAGAAATGGTAATTATTGTCTACGATCTGCTAAACATGGTATGATACTGACTGGGCTCTTGATTCTGGAACAGATCACCCCTGCCTCTTCCCACAGAATCTCCCTCTGCAAACTGCAGTCAACACAGGTAAACAAAGAAATCCTACCCAGAGTGCGAACACATTGGGGTCAAGTACTTGAGGCACCTGAGGTGCCCTGCTCACCTTGCCTCTGTGACGCCCAGTGAGGATGATGAGAATGGTCCCCGGAGTGATGCTGGCGCGCAGTTTCCTCACGTGCTTACTGAAGGGTTTCTTGCCATGGCTCAACAGCTTTCGAGGCACATCTTCAGTAGGATAATATCTAGGCTGAAGAGAGTCCATAGGTCCAACTTATTTAGATGAGCTAAACAAATCAGAGCTGGCTGTGGAGTCAGGGAAACCTTGGCTACAGCCTTTTAGTTACTTTTAACACTTTATTCACACTATTGTATTTTCATTTCTCCTGAGGTTCTAAAATTGGAAAATGTCAACGCTGCCTCTACAGCTTTACATGCAAAAATTAGGGTGGGATCCACTTAACTGAAGCAGCAGTGTGTTCAAGCTAAGATGAAAAGCATCAAGCAAGTTACCTTTGTAAATTCGGGATTAAACCATACTTTAGAGATTGTTCGGGGAGCTATCACTATACGCTATCGTGTAACAGTGATTTTCAAGTGTTTCCAGGGCCCCTGACCTCTAATGTAAACTATCTTCCTCCAGAAATACATGCCCATTTTGCATATTATGAAAAAGGCACGGCTTGTTTTCCAATTCAAATTGTGTTCATAAGCTTCACATTAACATGCATCACTCACATCTCATCGACGAAGAAAAACAAAGTGTATGAAACCAGACATCAATTTAGATCAAGACTGCTAGTTCATTACTGTAAAAATAAGACCTCAAAGACTGCTTCACTTATGACAAGTAACTCACATTAACCTATTTCTAATGGTATCATTTTAGTGAACAGTGTTGCTCTTACCACAAACATTAATACCTAATAGAAAAATCAGCTCACAAAACCTGTGACAAAAGGAAATCAAAGTGCCATTTCCCCCCTGGTGTAGTAGTTTTCAACTGTAGAGAGTAATATATGCAGGAATATTCCCATGATGGAAATCACAAAGCAAACCTTTGTTTTTCAGAGAAAATGTCAGGTCTTGTGCATAGTAAAGAGGGACCAAGAAACACTGCTACAGTGAATTAATGTTCTATGCCTGCTGGCCGCATCCTAGGCTCTATGCATACTAAGTCTCACAATCACCTTGTGAGGCAAACCTTTATTTTACAAGGAACAAAAGCACAGAAAAATAACTCTACGTAAGCATAAATAATAAAGCCAAGCTGCAAACCCAGAACCCACAACTCTCCATTAGTAATTCTCTGGTAAACATAAACTTCTAAAACCTGAGCACCCAAATCCTCACAGGATTCAAGCTTCAACCACCCAATTTACAATCTCTTCCAAAGCTTACCATTTTGCGAAGCTTGACCACTCGGGTACCACCATTCTTGTCACCACCAACTGGTTTTGTGACAGTAGCAAGAACCCTCACCTTCTTTTTCTTTTCAACCTATCAGGACACAAATACATCAAGTCAGAGGCAGACGAATATTTTAACCGAGATTAAGACACAGCTGGTTAGTGTTCCCCTGACCCCTTACCTTGGATTTAGCTGCTGAATACTTCCTCTTGTACAAGGCCTTTCTGGAATACATAGCCGATCGGGAATATCGGCCAATTCCTCTGACCAGGACAGGGTTGCGGCTGCAATGGGGCCTCCCCTTCTTAACCTTCTTTACCTTCTTAGCCTTTTTAACCTTGCCGCCAACATCAGCCTTTTTAACCTTGCCGCCAACATCAGCCTTTTTAACCTTGCCGCCAGCATCAGCCTTCTTGGCTTCAGGTTTTTTCTCCTTGGTGTCTGGCTTCTCCGTTTTTTCACCCGCCATCTACCAACACAAGTATTTAAAAAAAAAAAAGGCATTTCACCAGTTATCTCATAGCTGTACACGGATAGGCTGCCCAGACGACAAGTCCTCACCTTCCCTCTTCAAGCAGCTATACCATCCTTTTCATCCCTCCCACTGTAAGATACAGGCCTTCCTCCAAATCCCCACATTCATAACGGTTGATTTTTGGGTTGTCTCCTCTATACGCTATAAACTTTTTTGACGATTTGAAGATACCTCACAACTGTTAGGTGTTTGCTAAATCCTTAACCGTCCCTATTCCATTGTTTTGAAAATTAGAACTCTTAAGACAGAGTTAACAATTTCCACAGCTAGGAAGCAGCGAGGCTGGAACCTGAAACCTCTTGCTTTCAGGACTTTTGGTCTTATCAGACTACCTCATTGAAGACATTCTGTTTAGGAAGTGAAGACACACACACACAATTCGCCCAAACTCAGCTCAGACTGAAAAGAGCGCAAAACCCAGGAGGCGACTTCCGGTCGTGGACGTGAGGACACGGGAAAAGCAACATCTGGCCTCAGCCTCAAATCTACAGCGTGGCTGAAACAAACTCCGCGGCGTCTCCTGGAACCCAACCCAGGCATTCCCGAGCGCGCGCCGCAGCCCTGGTCCCTGTGACCCCACTAACCAGCTACGGATCCCTAGATGGGCCCTGTTCCCCAAGCCCAGGAGGCTAGCGAGCAGCCGGAGCCCCGGAGCCTCTACGGCATTCCTCATCACCCTCAACCTCTTCGCGCCCCACCGTAAACCACAGCGAAAGAAATGAAGCGTCCAGAGGCCTCATGGTTGGCCCTGTGCATGTCCGACCCCTGCAGATGTCGACTTGATACCCTCCTGGGGTAGGATGGCGAAGGATTGAGGTCCTGAGATCGAGTCTTGCAGAGAGACGCCGCCATTCTTACCTTGCAAGATGGGAAAGAGAACTAAGGCCCTAGCTTCCGGTCTATAAGCAATCACGCGCGGTGTCAAGTCTCACTTCCTTCCGGTTCTGGGGCATCATGGGAAATGTAGTTTTCTTCCTTTGTACTGGATGCAAAGCTATCCTAGAAGGAAGCGAAAACGGGAAACATTTTTGTCTGCAGATACCTCATTTTATAGACCAAAAGAATTCTCAAAGTACTTTTGGGGACCAGCATAAAAGTGCCACTTTTTATATTTTGCTTACGAAGAACATTAGAAAGCATTACCATTTTCAGTAGGATAAAGGACTTAATCCCCGAGGAAAGTGAAGCCTTTGCTATGAAAGGCTAGGTGGGAACCGTTCACGGATGTTTTCTCCACAGTTGGCTTAATGCCTATATGCTCTAATCAGACTACAGACTATACGCAATGGCAGAGGGTCAAAAAAACTAGAATTTAAAATAGATAAAATCAATCCCTGCTCTGAAGAACACGCATTCGATATATGTATGTATACGCATGACTGGGATATTGTGCTGTACCAGAAATTGACACGTTGTAACTGACTTCACTTTAAAAAAAAAACACGCATTCAAGGGAAAAAGCAAACAGAAAAATTAATAATTATGTTATTTCTTCTAGGGGATTTAGGAAATTTTTTGAAAGTCTGTTTTTGTGTTGAATATGGAAGAATAAATACACATTTGGCAGATGAAAGTGGCAATTGGGACAGTAAATGTAAGAGACATGGAGGCATCAAAGAGCATGGTTGTTCATCCCTTCTTCAAGCATTTCTGGCCACTTTGTATTCTGTTTCTTCATTTCTAAAATGGGGATATCAATAATTTCTATGTCACAGGGTTGCTAGGAAGATTAAATGAGTTAATATACACAAAATCACTAAGAACAGTATGTGATGCATGGTTAGTTCTAGATAAATGTTAGTTCTTGTTATCACCACCACCACCACCACCACCACCATCATTATTTACATCATAGTTATTGATGAGATCTTACTATGTATTCTTAGCCAAGTATTCCACTAAAAGTTATACATCAGGGATAGTAAGAGCAATACTGTATGCTCTGTGCCTAGAACTGTTCTGTGTGTCTTCGTCTATTTCACTTAATCCTCCCCACAACCTATAAAGGTACCACTATGAGGAAACTGGGGTTCAAAGAGGTTCAGTAACTTGCTCATAGCATGGATCTGATTCCAAAGAGTGCACTCTTAACCATTAGTCTGTAAAGATTAAAGAGATGGTTAATGAGGATGAATAAGAGAGTTCTTAGCTCATGTTGGAATTAAAAATAAGAATAGTTATTATGTTTTGCAAAAAAAACCCAGCAGAGTATATTTTATAGGTTTTTTCCCCTGCATCAAAGCACTTAAGATAACATGCACACAGTACAATACATTTTAACTTAAATTTTCCATTCTCTTCATTTGCTTATTTCTGGTGGCTAGAGCTTTTCACCTTGCTTTTCTTCAGATCCAAACCACCTGCTTCGTGGCTGTATTGCTGGGAAATGTGTAGCCTTTTTCTGGTTCTGGTTGACTGAGGAAACAGATACAGCGGTCTGATGCTTCTGATGACCTCAGTTATTTCAATGGAACATTTCAGACTACAGTAAATGCAAGGTTGCCATGCTTGTTGAGACGTGACTTCTAAGCATGTCTGACTTCCATACAGATTAAGGATGACTGTGATCTTAATAGGCTGTATTTTATACTGGTTTAGGATTATTCACTGTCCAGGCATGTAATATTCTCAAGGAAAAGCTTAGGTAATGCTCTTTTTTTGAGAATGGGCATGTCAGCACCTTTATTTGTTCAGCTTCCTGAGCAAAGCACTTTTTAGAAACTGCTACTTCAGAAAGTGTGTCACAATGTATAAAGTGCCGATTTGCTTACTTGAGTCCCTCAAAAATTCTGACAATCTCAGAGACTTTCACCTAGTAAATGCTTCAAATGTTTGCCTGATGTCCTGCCTTTAAAATAAAAACATAGTGAGCCCCCTCTTGTGTTTTGTTGTGGTAGTGCAAAATTTACCATTCATTAGTTAGGCAAAGTTATCACCACTTTATTAGTTTTAAGAACGATATTATTAAGCATCTGTTTTTGCCATCTATAAAATACTCTTAAACTTGTTCAGTGCTTTATTAATTACAAAGTAAACTTTTTTTTCAAAGTAAACATTTTTGCAGACACTAAATCATTTCAAGCCTCAATGCAACCTCCCTATGAGGTAGGAATTTAAGATGTAGGAACTGAGGCTTGATTACAATAAATGACTTATACAAGGTCACACATACATTTCTATTGAGTCACTTCTCTTTGTGCCACAGAAAGACAGAAAATCAGTAGGCAGTTGTGCTGCAGAAAGGGTACAGTCCTAGCGAGAGATCACTTGCTATCTGATCTTATGATAAACCTCTGCTCATGAGTTTTCTTATTTATAAAATGGGGATGATATTGACAATATTAATAATAACTCCCTAAATGTTAATGCGAAGGTCGATACATAGTGATTCACTCTCTCACTCAATTTTCTCATAAGTAAGTTCATGGAAGCACCATTGGGGAAAAAAAACTGCAAGTAATTTGAATGCCTATTAACATAGGAATTGACTAAATAACAGTCATACTATGGGATATTATGCAGCTATGGAAAAGAATGACTCAAATCTAAATGTGCTGTCCACTATAGTTGCATTAGCCAAATGTGGCTATTGAGCACTGGAAATGGAGCCAGTTCACACTGAGATTTTCACACATTGGCTGTAAGTGTAAAATATAGACTGGACTTCAAAGGCTTAACAAGAAAAAAAGAATGTAAAGTAGCTCAAATAAATTTTCATAGTTATTAGTTATATGTAAAATGATATTATTTGATAAATTGAATTAAATAAACATATTTTTCAAATTGACTTCACTTGCTTCTTTTTTAAGTGTGACTACTAGAAACTAAAATTACATATATGAGATATACAAGTTTCTTCTGTATAGCGCAGGGAACTATATTCAATATCTTGTAGTAGCCTATAAGGAAGAAGCATATGAAAACAAATATATGTATGTATATGTATGACTGAAACATTATGCTGTACACCAGAAATTGACACAACATGGTAAACTGACACGACATTTAATTGAAGTAAATGTCGTGTCAGTTTAATTGAAGTAAACTGACTATACTTCAATTTTAAAAAAGGTATTGTTCAAATGAAAAAGAAACTTTATAAAAATTTAAAATATACAACATGCTTATTTTGCTTAACTTTTGGCTTGGTATTTAATATATGTAATCATGAGATCTCTTTAGTTTTTAAATAAAAATAATTATTCCATATTCAGTTAAAAATTACATATATGCCTCACATTATATTTCCAGTGGACAATCAGTGCTGGTCTAGAGGGATGTTCATAATATACTAAGAGAAAACCCACCACAAAATTTTACACACACATATCTATGTACATACATAGATATATACACATATACACACACACACACATATAATACATAGATACACAAATGTATGTATATATATAAATATACAGATATTATTAATCCATAAAAAATTGAAAAAACTCCCTGTATATGTTGTGTGAGTGAGCGTGGGTGTGTGATATGTGTGTGTGTTTGTACAGGTATAGAGAAAAGTGTGGAAGGATACACACTAAACCATTAACCTGGAGGGTGTTGGGGTAGGGAGGCTTTATATATTGTGAAGCAGGGAAAATTACTGTTTTTATTTGGCTTGTTGCAAGGAATCTGTATTATTTTTGTAGTTGGGAAAGAAATTAAAATAAAGTATTGTCTAAATGAATGTTTCTTAAGCTTGTTATGTGCCAGGCCCTGCGCTAGGCTCTGGGCATATGAAAATGAAGAAGACAATGAGTTTAAGAGGCGTTCCTAATCTAGGGGAAGAGACAGAAAAGTCGACCAACAATGACACTGAACTGGCTTAGGGGCCATAGCGACATGAACAGGCAGCCACCAAAGCACAGGGAGAGGGTCTCTATTTTACTCTCAGGAATTGGTCAAGGGGTGTGTGCAGTGAATGTTTCCTGGAGGAGCTGGTTGAGTTGGAGTTGAATCTTGCATGATACTTAGTTTTCCAGTTGGAGACGAATTTAAAGGAGAGTTTATTAAGTGCTTACTGTGCCAGGCATTGTTCTGAGTACAAACATTAACTTTTATTCTTTACAACCTACCCTATGTGGTAGGTAGGATTTTGATCCCTCCATTTCACAGAGAAGTAAACTGAGACACAGAGGAGTCAAGTGACTTACCTGTGGACACCCAGGCAGACAGGCAGGAGGCAAGCTGACCTTTGGAGATTAAGTACTTAATCCTCATATTATACTGTCTTAGATTTATAATGGAGTGTGTTCAGTTCTTAACTAGGATAGGTGTCTTGGGGACCATTTAACCTGGGGCTGGGATAATCAGGTGATTTTTCCTATTTCAGAGAAGATGACTTCTAGCTGAGATCAGAGGCATAGACTAGTATTCATGCTGGGGGAGGGCGGCGAATCAGAAAGAATCCTTCAGGGAGAGGGAGCAAATGGTTTACAGGCCCTGAGCTGGGAGAGAACATGGCTTATTTAAGGGGAACTGAAAGTTATTCAGCATGGATGGGTCATAGAGTGGTGGGGAGAGAAGGGACTGGTAAAGTAAGCATGGATCAGACCAAGTGATTGTCAAAAAATGTTTTGCCTGCATCCTAAAAGCAAAGAGAAGCCATTGATGTGTTCAATTTAAGGAGTGACTGGTTTTGCATTTTAGATTACTGTGGTTATTATGTGGTGAATGGATTGCAAAGGGCATGCCTATAGGCCTAAAATCAGTTAGGATATTGTTTGAGTCACCTGGGTGGTGAGGATTTAGGAGAATGGAAAGAAACAGGTTGGGCAACTGCTTGTTGAATGCCTGTTACCTCAACTAAGTTGGTTTTTTTAAAGACAATTTTTTAAGGCCATTTTTGTAAGGATTTTTGGGTAACAACAATCCTGAGGCAGTTAGCATATGGTATGAGGGTTCTTTGCATAGAAGTGAGATGGGGAGCCTTGGGAGGAAAAAAATGAGGATTTTGGAGCTTTATAGATGTGGGTTTGAATTCTGGCTCTGCCACTTACTAGATATGCGGCCCTTAGTGAGTCACATGGGCATTCATCAGGTAAAAAGCTCTACCTTCTCATTCTGGTGTGAGATCTCCATCATCTCCAGCCTGGAATATTACAGTATTTTAGTACCCTGAACTGGTGTCTGTTTCCATTCTTGCCCTCTTGATTTGATTACTCAAAGTACCAAAATAATACTTTAAAAACATAGATTCTATTCCTTCTCTGCTGAAAATCTTTTAATGACTCCATTTTACTGTTCCTTTAAACAGCCTATAGGACCGTAAACCATCTCTATTCCTTTGTCATCTCATTTTCTACTACTCTCTCTACATCTCCTATACCCTTCTCACCTCCTACTGTGCTGAAGCCAGAGACCTCTTCATTTTTCTTCAAATACAGGAGGCAGCCTTAGGGCCCTTGCACTGCCCTCTCCCTGTGCTTGAAATGCTCTTCCCCTAAATTATTCCCACTGATTGCTCTTTTACTCAAATGTCATCCTTAGTGAAGCCTTCCCGAACTCTTCTATTTAAAATACTATACTGGACTAAGAAGAAAAGAAGAGAAATGAGGATGGACTGATTATCTTGATTACTGTAGCTCCTCCCATGAGAACACCGAGATTTTTCGTCTTTTCAGTTTTCTGTTGTAACCCCATAGTCAAAAACAGTGCCTGGCAGATAGAAAACACTCATAGGTTTACTTACAATGATAGTAGAGCTAATAATCACAAAGCATTTATTAAATAGGCAAGGCCCATTCTAAACATTTTACATATATAGTGCTCACCATAATCCTACGAAGAAAATACAATCACTGTCTTCATTTTACAGAAATGAAGGAATGGAGGAAACTGAGGCTCAGAAAAATTAAGGGAATTCCCGAGGTTACACAGCTAGTAAGTGGAGGGGCTGTCTGTGGAATGCAATGAATGAAATTCGATTTGACTGTCAGCGCAGGGATGGAAATTGACACGATGGGACGGATGCAATCAATTCACGCGAGTGTGTGCAACTTTGAGCGCGCAGAGCACGCTCTGCCGCCAAAGTCTAAAGGAGGATGTGACGGTGCATTGGGAACTGCGCGGCGGCGGACCCTAAGGGCCACTAACCTGCCATTACCAGCAGCCACTCAGTCCCCGGCCGACTGGAAGCAGGAAGTACCGGCGGGCGTCGCGCGGGGTGACGTCACTATGGCGCCGCCGGCGACGGGCGGGGGAGAAGGAGGAGCAAACGGACTAGGGGGCGGCTGCACAGTCTCCGGGATCCCCAGGCCTGGAGGGGGGTCTGCGAGCGGCCGGCAGGCTCTGCCCCCAGTCCGGTCCCGAGCGGGCCTCCCTCGGGCCAGCCCTATGTGACCGGGCCCCGCTGAGCCTGATCAAGGAACCGGTCCGTCGCGGAGCCGTAGGGCGGGAGGAACATGACATCGCGGAGGTGAGGAGCCCCGAGGGCCCGGCCCGGGCCTCGGCCCGGCCCCCGCCGCATTTGGTCAGCCCCGCCCGGGAGGGGGCGGCCCGGCCAGGCTTCGGACTCCTGCCCTGTGTCGCGGGGGCAGACTCCTTCCCAACCCCCTAGCCTTCCCGGCCCCCGGGGCCCGGCCCCACCGCGCCCCCACCCTTCTGGTCCCCATTCATTTCCTGCCTCCCCGAGTTCCGGCTCCAGCAGCCCTGGGGATGCCCGTCAGGACCAGGGCAGGTAGAGCCACCGTGGAACCGCGGACGCCAGCGGGCCCGGCTTGGCGCCGCATTCCTGACCCATTGCCTCATGAGAATTGCCTCATGGTGATTCCGAAATAACCCCGTTCACTTGGGGAGGCTTCTCCGCCCGGGACACGGGAGGGGAGAGAAGGGAGTTGCGCCGGGCCGAGCCCCCGGCAGTCCAGCCGCTCAGGGTCACTCTGTCTCTCGCGCGCATTTGGGAGCTTTGCTCACGATCCCGATCCCTCTTTGCATCTCGTTTCCCCCCCAACCCTCACGTGCCAGAAATGGAAAAACTGACTGTATCTGCAGCTATTAGAAGTATTTCCTTCCTCTGCGATCTTCGCTTTGGGAGATGGGAGGGAAGGGAGCTGTATCTCTAGTTATTTAATCCTTCACAACCTTAAAAGTCAGGTAACATTAATTACCCCCGTTTTACGGATGTGGAAACTGAGACTCAGGAGAAGCATGCTAGTAAATGATAGAATTTGAACCAAAGAGTCAGAAGGAAGATTAGTGACTTAATGAGATCCTTTGAAAGTTCAGGGTAACCATACTACTAATAGATAACACTTATTTTAGCTCTTACTGTATGCCAAACACGTTTAATCCTTATTATAACCCTATGAGGTTCGTACTATTATCCCTGTTATAAAGATGAGTAAACCGAGTTTCAGAAGTTGGGCAACTTGCCTCAGGTCACTCAATCAATAAGTGGTGGAGCCAGAATCCCCACTGTTAATTACCAGGTTGCTATTTTTTTTAAATAGACATTGTCAATTATTTGTAAGCCTTAATTCTGTTGTTAAACAGTAGTGTGATCTATTGTTTTCAGATAATCATCCTACTAGTTTGTGTCCCACTCTTTATATACACACATAAGACCCATTCCATTGTTTAGACTTTCCTTCTTTGTCCTGTTATGGTCACTGTCTTAGACATTTGAAACACTGTTTCAAGCTGTTGGGGGTATTTGAATGAGAGACTTTCCAAAATATTAGGAATGTCTTCTCAAAATACACCTGCTTATTATTCATTCTGGGAATTTTAAAAAAGAAAACTGAAAACTTAGGAAGTGAGTAATTTGGACAAGTCTGTTGGCAAGTGCTTACAGATCTGGGTAATATATAACTGCATTTCGTCAGAACACTGTATACCCTAAATGTTCTCATTCTTTAGGGAGTTTTTAAATAAAACAGTTGTCTATTCTTTAATTTGTCAAATAGTCATTGAGCCTTTTGTTCCTTGTGTCTGCTCTTCCAGACAAGTAAGGATCTTCTTTTAGGAGACAAAAAGACTGGGGGCTGGGAGTAGGGAAGGGGCTGGGTAGTAATAGACCCTACATTGTCCAGCTTGTTAGTTTAGAAGCTGAGAAATGTGAGTATAGCCAAAGCAGCAAGTGGTAAAGATGACAGTTTGAAATGGAGTAATTCTCCCTCTCCTCCGCCCCTCCCTTACTTATTATGGAAAAGAAATGTGTGCTACCCCAAAAGTCAGATTATGAACGTAACACACATAATTGGGGATTATTATTATTTTTCAGATCGTAGGTCTGTTATTTTTTTAACCAGCTTTATTGAGGTATAAATGACATGCAGTAAATTGCTTATGTTTAAGTGTACAATTTGATAAATTTTGACACACATATACACTCGTGAAACCATCACCACGTGGACATAATGAACATATCTAACACCTCTTGTGATGGCTCCTCCAGCCCTTTGTGGTCCCTTCCTTGTTGTCAGGCAAATACTCTTCTGCTTTCTGTCACTATACATTAGTTTACATTCCTAGAATTTTACGTAAATAGACTTTTATGTGTGGCTTGTTTTTTCCTTTTTTGGTACGTGTGGCTTCTACTCATTGTAGTTATGTTGAGATTCATCCATGTTGTAGTGTGTGTCAAATGTGTGTCAAATGGTTCATTACTTTTGGTTGATTAGTAATATTCCATTGTATGGATATACCACCATTTATTTATCCATCCACCTGTTGATGGACATTTGGGTTGTTTCAGAGTTTGGCTATCACAAATAAAGCTGCTCTGAATTTTCGTGTACAAGTGTTTGTATGGACATATACTTTTCATTCCTCTTTGGTAAATACCTATCAGTGATAAGGCTGGATCACATAGTAGATGTATATTTAGCTTTTTCAGAAATTGCCAAACTTTTTCAAAATAGTTGTGCCATTTACATTCCCACCAGCAGTATGTCAGAGTTACAGTTCCTTCACATCCTTGCTAACACTTGCTATGGTCAGATTTTAAATTTTAGCGATTTTAAAGGGTGTGTCATTGTATCTCATTGTAGTTTTTTTTCCATATCAGCACTTTCTAATTTTTTAATTTTAATTTTATTTATTTGGTATTTTAATTGAGGTATAATTCACTTATAACTTTAGTTTCAGGCACACAGCATGATGATTTGCTAATGTACTTTTAATTTGTATTTTCCCTGGTGACTAATAATATTGATCATCTTTTCATGTTCTTGTTGGCCATCTGCATATCTTCTTTGGTGACATGTCTATTTGATCAAATATTTTCCCTTTTTAAAATTTACTTATTTGTTTTCTTATTGAGACTTGAGAGTTTTTTATTCTGGATACAAGTCTTTGATCAGAATTGCAAATATTTTCTCTTAGTCTGTGGCTCATCTTTTCATTTTTCACATAGTGTGTTGAACACAGGTTTTTAATTTTGATGGAAGTCCAGTTAATCAATGAAAAAAAAGGATCATGTTTTTGGTGTCATTTCTAAGAAATCTTTGCTTAACCCAAGGTTTCAAATGTTTTCTCTTGATTTCTCGAAGTTTTATTATTTTAGGTTTATGATTCACTTTGAATTAACTTTTGTATGTGGTGTGAGGTGTGGATACATCTTCTGTTTTTTGCATGGATATCCAGTTGTTCCAGCACCATTTGTCGGAAAGACTGTCCATCTTTATTGAATTTGCGCTTTTGTTAAAGATCAGTTGCCCATTTATATGCAGGTCTATTTCTGGACTCTATTCTGTTCCATTGATCTATTTGCCTTCCTTATGCCAGTATCACATGGTCTTGATTATTACAGCTTTGTAACAAGTTTTAAAATCAGATACTGTAAGTCTTCCAATGTGTTCTTTTTCAAATGATTTTTAACCTCAGAATTAATTAATTCAACAAGTAGTTATTGAACTAGGCAGGATGAAGCAGTAAGACAGGCAAAGATTGCTCTTCTTATGGCTGAGAGAGAAAGTGGACAAACACATGAATAAATAAGACCATTTCAGGTAGTAATAACTGCTGGGAGGGAAAAAAACCCCAAATGTGGGGAATGTGGTCAGTTTTGATAATGGGTTTAGGAAAAGTCTCTGAGGATGTGATCATGTGGGCTGACTCCTGAATGACTGATATTCTGAATTTTGTTTTGCTTAATTATCATAATATTTCTTTTTGGTTCATGGGTTTGTGTGTGTGTGTGTGTGTGTGTGTGTGTGTGTGTTTGTGTTTTCACCTTATATCCTGCAACCTTGCTGCTAAACTCAGTAGTTCATGCGTTTAGAGTTTAGAGTTTGTACGCATTCAGTAATTAGAATATCCTGTTCGATGTACTGGTACCCCTCAACATCTTAGAGAGAGAAAAGAAGGCAGCGTAATTTAGCGATGCCACTACTGAGTTTAGACTTTGCTCGGCTGCCGTGCTCTGCCTTATTCAGCTCACAAAACTGGCCGTATCCTCTAGGTCTTCTTCAGCATCTGGCACATCTTTTGCATTTACTTTTGTTCCTCTGGAAGATAACGTCCCATGAGTTGAACTGAAAGGGGCAGAAAATTTAGCTTGTTCTCAGACTCCAAGCTTTTGGTTTTTATCTGTTGCAGGTCAGGTACATTCTGTCCCTGGCTCTCCCTGGTGGCCATGTTTGTTTATCTCCTATGGGAGTAAATAAACTTGCCTTACTGAAACATAACAGTTCTGTGTCTTTCCAGTTGAAACTGAGATGTCTTTATTGATGTCCTGTCCTGATGTAAGGTCAGATTTTTGTCCAGAGCTGCTCACATGCTGGGGCCGCTGCTAAGATTACTTACCCTTCTCGCATGTGCTCAGTGTGGAGACTGTGAGAGTCGCATAAGGTCTGGAAAAGCAGAGCCAGCCCTTGTTTGTAATTGTTACTAGCGGGCCTTGGTGTACTTTGTTAAGCAACTGCAGAACAATGGAAGACACTGTGCTTAATTCTCTTTCCCTTTGGGAAACACAGACAGCACTTGCCCTCCAAA